TGATGAATGAAAGCCATCTTTGTTTTAAGCTATTTGGTAGTAAAGAAAGATAGCTATGGGTTGGGAGAGCTAGAGGGAGTTTGAAGGCCTTAGTACCTTAACTACCCAGAGGTGAAGTTCAGACTAATTTAAGTCAAGTTGACAGACATAACTGTTAGCCTGGGGGAATACGATCTGTTTGGAAGCACTATTTTGGCAAGAAAAAAAAACTTCTGTTAAGAGATGGCTTTCAGCACCTGCAAACTTTGTTTAGTTTTGTCAGCCACAACAACAAAGAATGAGACTTTGAGAATTCAGGCTCCTTAGAGTTACCACAAAACCCACAAAATCAGTCTAGGTTAAGAGCAAACGCTGAGTTCTCAAGAAGTTAAACTCTTTCAGGTTTTGTAAGCAACAACTCTGAGACTAAATTGAAATGTTTAAAACAAGACCACCACTCCCGCCCAGAAATTAAATAACTGACCCTACAGACACACATATTTCAATTAATTGCTTGTTTTAAATTGCCAATTTATTTTTATACCCAATCCAGTATCCACGATATACAAGAGGATATAAACAGACTATCATGAATATTTACAGGATGATACACCAAAGAATTACCAACAAACGACTCCTGCAAAGTAACAAATTGTTGCTTATCCATGTCCACTCAACTGTCCAAGGTTTATTTCTAGGATAATTTCCCATTCTCTGTGAAAGTTCTGTGAATTTATACCTTTCATAAGGGTCAAACAAATATGCTAAGAGTTGATACCATCATATGTTTATACTAACAGCCGAGAAAGCCTTTTAAAGAACACTCTCTTTCAGTCCAATGTTACAGCTTCAGTGGGCTCATAGGCAGGATGCGACTTCATCAAAGGAAATGCTTCTCTCTTCTTGGCCTCCCTAAGACCCTTCTCATAGTACACGGAAGGAGTTCGCCCTTGATAACACCCTGGTTCCAACAGATGGTGTGGAGATTATCAACACGCAGTGGGGAAAAGAAACTGACCCCCTTACCAGCTAAATACAATACAGATCTAGAGAGGCAGTTTCCAGATCTCCAACAGGCAGACATTATGTGGCCTGTATTTAGTACACAGCACATTCTCTTGAGAGGAAACAGGAATGAACATTCTCAGAAACATTCACATTGTAGCTTTACCCAAAGTATATAGGAAATGGCAAAAACCTAAACCTAGCTGGACATTTAATACAAGTCAGTCAAAGTTCAAAGGAATCATCCTATCTTTATTCTCAGGAATCCAATGGGTTGAATACCACAGCTCTTCTTTCATGGAAGCAGAAGATTCAGAGTGCCTGTCTCCCAAAATGCCTCAGCGAAGGGCAGCACAGAGAATGGAATATCAAAAGCGTAATAGGGTTAACACATGGAAGACAACAATTCTCAGTCAACCTAGCCACAATTTTCTGTCTTGGCCATCTGTAAGAAATGACCACATTTGATATTCAACTTTCTCCTTCAAAAAAAGAAATCAATTCAGCTTCAGACACAAAGGAAAAACAAACAAACAAACAAACAACAACAACAACAAAAATGGCAATAGCCTACATATCTAAACACTTGACAACCAGGGAACTGCCCCACAAAGATACGCTCAAGGCCAGTAGTACCTGTTTATAATTTGGCATGTACTGGTTGAAGGGGCAACAGGGCCTGGAGCTAAAATATTCCATTTAAAAAATATAATACATCAATGAATCAGACAAATGTAGACATATATGATACCACATTAAAGACTCATATACAATACTGTGCTGACTGAAAATATTTTGGGACACTAGAAGGAAAAGATAAGAGGAAAATAATTACAAAGGAGCATTTCAGTCCAAAGCCAGTCCAGTGAGTACGTACAACTAGGATTTCCAATCTTTAATATCCAAAGAAGCTGATTAATAAATTATAACATCACTTCATTCACATTTGGGACATACAACATACTTCCAAGTACAGTAATTCCTCTGACGTTTTGGTTTCACTGCTATTTGATGACTAAGTCATTTCTGGCTATCAAGATCTTCCTAATATATTTTAATTAGCCATGTAACACTACAGAGGCTGCTCCCTTTGAGAGACCAGACAAGCTTCACTGGATCTGATCTAATGAAGGTGAACGGCGGGGAAAAAAGGGAATATTCACTGTTTTTTTGCAAATCTTTCTCTCTTGCTTGAAAAACTCTGCAATCACTTATTGTTTTGCTCCAGAAAAAGAAAGCAAAACTAGCTGGGAAAATATCCATACATTAATATTTTGTGTTTACTAGCATGATGCGAAATAAATTCATAGATGTCAGTCAATTGTTTCTTAAAGACCAAATGTGAATTTTTAATCTTGTAACTTAAGAACTGAGTTTTTCCACATTCTTTTATAGAGTTAGCATCTGTAAACTGAGACCCTTTTTTGGACAATCATACAAATTTAATTTGTCCCTGGAAACAAAAACACAACCTAACAGATTAACAAAATATGTCCTTTAGACAATATTTTCTGTGAATTTTGCTGCACTGTTACCATTTTGGTCCTTCAGCAAACAAAACTACACTTAAAAAGTTTATGTATTTCGAGTTCACAAAGAGCTAGACTCTTAATTAAGAAGACTATGAAGTCAACGTACTCTCATTTCAGAACTGGCTCCCCTCTTTTCAAAAGTAAATTCTGAAAGTTTTTTGGTTATCATTATTAAGTTATATGAGCTAGACATTTCCACTGCCATCAATGCTTCTGTAAAATTGAATAAAGATTTTATTATACCACACACACAAAAAGCAACCGGTACAGAAAAAGCAGTTTTCAGTTATTCTGCTGAGAATTTCTTTCCATGATTTCTCCCATTAAAGTATAGTTTTCAAAGCAACCACCACGACAAAGGAAGCATCTAATTAGTCCATTTTCTTCTGATCCAAGAATGCTGAACATGTACTGTCCCATCTGTAGTTGTATCAGCAGTGTAATGAACACAGTTTATATTACTTAACTATTCTTTGAACTCCAAGAACTGTTGAAGTCTTTTCTGATGTTCTGCAGATGCTTGCACAGCACTAAATGAAACATAAATTCAAAGCATAAGCTTTATTTTACATTAAGCATATTAAGTGAACCACAGAGCACAGAGTCAATATTTTTCAAAACAATTAAAAACGAATAGAAATCTTCACTTATTGAGTATTTCTGAAAAAGCTGGACGAAACTCTTTTTAATCTAGTGAAGAGGAGGGCTTGCATTCAGTAATGGCATGTTTCTACCTTCTAAAAGACCAACGCAAATTAAGACTGACAAGTGAAGGCATTAACTTTAACCTGCTCTGCTATGGAACCTGCTGTGTGGAGTTCCAGGCCTTGCGGTAGATATTCTGGATTTTATTATTTTATTTAAACCAGATTCCAACATTATCTTTGAGTTGTGGAGTATCTGAATTGCCTTTAATAGAAAATCCTTTAAACTAAAATGTTTGGTTAAAACACAATAGACTCCATTAATCATTTTCAAAGGTAACAGCTTGGTGGTTTCGATTTATTTCTCCCTTTGAACATACGTTATGTTTTGGATTGGAACACTGAGTTCTCTCTCCACCCTCACCATCACAAAAACGTATTACCTTGACAAAATTAGGGCAAATATATACTGAAACTAGTATAATACTTCCTCTTAAACTTTTGGGCAAAAATTGAATATAATGAAAGATTCCGGTTTTGTAGTTCTCCAACAGGTCACCGCTTTTTAAAGTGCCAAAACAGTATCAGTGTAATAATTTTATTATGAATCATCTTAAAAGGTCTTAAGGACATCTTTGCTTTCTTCAACCATGTACCTATAATTGAACCATTTCAAGTATACTACTGTGCAAAGATGCCTCTAGGTGCTAGTGAGGCTGTCTTCTCTACTTAACAGCTAGGGAACTCTCTCCAACACCAAATTTGTGGCTTTCCCATGACACTTCTCTCTGCTAACAGCTAGTGAAGTGTCCCTTACAGTTTACAGTTAGTACTCCTGACTCCAGTAGCAATCTCTACTCCTCAAATAAATTTTGATATGGGCTAGGCATGGTGGCTCACACCTGTAATCCCTACATTTTGGGAGGCTGAGGCAGGTAACTTGCTCACAATCACAGATAGTTAATGATGTAAGCAGACAGAAATCCAGATATTTTAACTCCAGATCTAACATTCTTTCCACTATACCATTCTGTCCTACTTGTACAAAATAGCCTCTACTGACTTTATAAACTTTGGTACATATATAAAATATGGCTCTTCTCAGAGAAAAGACACAAAAGAGGAATTTCATTTTCACAATTTAATTAATTTGTGAGGCAGGTTCTTGCTCTGTTGCCCAAGCTGGAATGCAGTGCCACGATCTTGGCTCACTGCAGCCTCCACTTCCAAGGTTCAAGTGATTCTCCTGCGTCAGCCTCTGGAGTAGCTGGGATTATAGTTGCCCACAACACGCCTGGCTAATTTTTGTATTTTTAGTAGAGATGGGGCTTCACCATGTTGGTCAGGCTGGTCTCGAACTCCTGACCTCAGGTGATCCACCTGCTTTTGCCTCACAAAGTACTGGGATTATAGGCATGAGCCACCGTGCCTGGACCATTTTCACAGTTTTTAACCAGTCATCTGTATCTCTCTCTCTCTCTCTCTTTTTTTTTTTTGAGACAGTCTTGCTCTGTCACCCAGGCTGGAGTGCCATGGCACAATCTTGGCTCACTGCAACCTCTGCCTCCTGGGTGCAAGCGATCCTCATGCCTCAGCCTCTCAAGCAGCTGGGATTACAGGTGCACACTACCACGCCCAGCTATTTTTTGTACTTTTAGTAGAGATGGGGTTTTGTCATGTTGGTTAGGCTGGTTTCAAACTCCTGACCTCAGGTGATCCACCTGCCTCGGCCTCTCAAAGTGCTGGGATGACAGGCATGAGCCACTGTGCCCAGCCTATATCTCTTTCTTATCTAATAAATTCCTATGCTCCCCTTTTCTTCTTGCTTTTTTCCCCAAGGGAATGTTAGAGTGCTGCAATTTATCTAGTCACTGATTACTGGCTAATGCTGGCAGGAATTTCAAATTATTCTTGCATACAATGTCCCCCCTGCCTGGCCATGACCACAGTCAGGCCAGGTCTAAAGGTATGCCCTTCTCCTTGCTTTTGTTCTATCATTAATATACTTCATATCTACTTCATTCTCTAAATTCATCAGTATTTTGATTGTGTCCTACATATTAATTTATATCCTGGAAGCTGTCTAGTGTTGCAGAAAGAAAGACAAAAGATTTTTAAGAGCAAGAAAGTCCTAATTTCAGGTTCATGTTTAACAGGCACTAGACTGTGCTATTAGGGAAGTTTTAACATCTCTGTGCCTCTGTTTTCATACCTGTGCAATTATGACAACTTCTACATTTCACTGGGTCTTTGAAAAGAGTAAATGAAAAATACACCAAGTTCTAAGTGTACTGTCTGGAATAGCACGGTCTGATAAAACTTTCTAGAATGAAGGAAAAGTTTTATACTTAAGTTGTCGAATACAGTAGCAACTAAACACAGGCAGTTATTGAGTACTTCAAATGCGGCTAGGGTGACTGGCAAATTGAATTTTCAACTTTATTTAACTTTAATTTAAATTAGAAGTCTTAAACTATTCATTGATTGCACACAAAAAACAGCAGAGCAATCTCTTGTCTTCTAAAGCTCATTTATAATTACGATAAATACAAACATAGTTTAGTTACTAAGCTAGTATCCCTCATCCTGCCTAGCTAGATCATTTCACAAGAGGAAAGCAGTAAACATCAATAAAACTAAATATAACAGGCTTGGCATTTGTGGTTTTCTCTCTGGTTCTGTTTCTGAAGGTGTTGTGATCTGTCAGTGTTTTTCCAGCATGAATCACAAAGCACCAGGGATTCATTTCTGGAATACTTCGCTCACCCCAAGTCTTAAGTTTGCTGACCAAGATATAACAATAGAATTAGTTTTAATATGCTTTTCTGGAAAGGTACTCAGGTTTTTTTGCCCTTTTTTCTCCCTTAAACATCTTTTGATAATTTAAAAATATATATAAAATTAAATTTGCTGCATTTGTAACTTTCTGTCCTCTTTTGTCCATTTGAAAGAAACCCCCAAAGCTTTATGACGGGCTAAATTTTAAAATATAAATATTAAGTCCACCTCCAAGCTGTAAGTTCACAGTAGGAATCATCAAGGTCCCAAAAGAACACTTTCAACACATGAGCCTTATCATTCCCATACCTATTTCTAAGGAAAGCTCCCCAGAATGGGTATTATCATGGATCAAAACAGGTAAACTTACTTCAGATGTTCACCAAATGTAGTCGTTATTCTATAGATAGCAGTTTTCAGTGATGCTCTGAATGCAAATCTTAATGTTTTATATGAAGTGTCCACAAGGCTTCCTGAAATCCGGGGTGGTTTACTGGAAGCATGAGGAAGCTTAAAGTACTTGTCCACCGCCTACACCAAGAAAAAAAACACATCAGTTGAAGTTATAAAGAAAGCCAACCTGGGCCAGGTGCTGCGGCTCACATGTGTAATAACAACACTTTGGGAGGATGAGGCGGGAGGACTGCTTGAGCCCAGGAGTTCCACTCTACTCCAGTCTGGGCAACAGAGACCCTGTCTCAAAAAATAAAAATAAAAAATAAAAAATAAAAAGAAAGCTAATTTAGTCCAAAGAATTAAGATTTGAGATAGATACATATCGATATATACAGAGAGATATACACATATCCATAGACATGCTGTAACATATTTCTTATTGTAGATCACAGTCAAATAGTTTCAAAAACAATGCAATAAGGAGGCTCAGCTACTTTAGCAGTTACTAGGCTCCCCCACCCCCAAAATCCAGACTTGCCCTCGAAAACAAAGCTATCATTCAATAGCCTTGAAAATGCAAAGCCTGAAGTGAAACACCAATGTCCTACTCTGCTTATGACGTGTGACAGGCAGGAGGACCTTTATTAAAAGACCTCAGCAAAAAAAAAAAAAAAAAAAAAAAAAAACTTCATACTTTACACAAATAGTTATTCACTAGTTTATCTTCTTTTTCAAATCAGATAAGGCATTTATGAGCAATGACAGATGATATGTTACATCATGAGGTCCCCATGGAAAAATAAAGTGAAAAGATATAATGGTAGAAGCATTTTATTTATAGTTACGAATGTAACCAAAAGAACTGAAAACAAAAGTTATTAAAATTATTTTTGCCATCATGTTCTTAGTTTCAAGAGCTCTTTTACATCATCTGTTCTTTTTAATTTTAGCGTCCTATTTTTGTTTCTCAGATGCAATATCCTTTATTTCTGAGGATTCTGATGATAGCTTTTTTGTTTTTCAGTTTTTTCCAAGCTGACTTTCTCCCCTTGCTTCTTTTATGAGAGACTTTCCTCAGAAATCTAACGATCCTCGCTCACAAATGCAAGTGGGACCTGCTAAAGAGCTGAGCACCAATTCTGAGTGCACGACTGGGGATCACACACAAGGGATTACACAGTGGGTCATCTGCAGGGACTTTAGGGGCGAACCTTCAACTCAGTCACTTTAGGCCTTTCTTCCTGCACTGGCCAGAGTGCCCAAAGAAAAGTCTCCTAGTATCTTGACTATAGGGCCTGGCCCCAGTGTTCCGAAGCCAACTGGAGAACAGGGCTTTTGAACTAACTCATCCCTCTCCTTTGGTACAGCGCCCACAACTCTCCCAGTCTGGGTGTTCTACTATCTCTTAAAAGGATAAATAAACCTCAGACCACAGTGGAGTAGGAGCAAGTACCCCACAGCATAGGATCTAGGCATCTAATTTTCAAGCAGCTCTCACCCAAACCTCTTTATTTTGGGTACCTGTCGCTTCATCCTTGGTTCTAGAGTTACTTGGTGCTTCTCCCACCACCAATTTGAAATCTGCGTCTGGAATCTGCCAAGTTAGCTGTCTCAACCATCTGCTTTCCAGCTTTGAAAGTTTTGTTGCTATTATGTCCTCTCCTGTTTATGGATTTATGTATGTATAAAATACCTCTTCTATAGTTTAGTAGTTTTGGGGAAGGAATAAAATTTGATTCATGTGTTCGGTCTGCCATGATAACTTCAGTGTTATTTTTCGCTTAATTTCACTGAATTTAGTGTTATTTAAGTATTTCACTGAATTTCAACTACCTAAAATAATTTCAAGTATGTCTCAGTCTTGGGAAACACTTTGAAAAGTGATAGTTGAAAAAAATGTATGACTGAACTCAAAGTTGTTGTGGCAGATTGAACAAAAGCATCAAATCTTGTTCCACGATAATGGAAAATTGCCTTCTTTTCCATTTTCTTGCAAATGTCCTGATTAACCCTTGGTATACCAGGAAAAATAATCATCCTCATTATCGCCTATGAATACTTTATATTTTTTGTAGTCTGAAATCATTTTACAAACAATTTACAGATGACAAGGTAATGCAAAATAACTTTATAAAACTTTAGCACAGGCAAGGACTTCATGACTAAAACACCAAAAGCACTGGCAACAAAAGCCAAAATAGACAAATGGGACCTAATTAAACTCCAGAGCTTCTGCACAGCAAAAGAAACAGTCATTAGAGTAAATCAGCAACCGACAGAATGGGAAAAAATTTTTTTGCAATCTACCCATCTGACAAAGGGCTAATACCCAGAATCTACAAAGAACTAAAACAGATTTACAAGAAAAAAACAAACCCATTCAAAAGCGGGTGAAGAATATAAACAGACACTTTACAAAAGAAGACATACATGAGGCCAACAAACATATGAAAAAATGCTCATGGTCACTGGTCATTAGAGAAATGCAAATCAAAACCACACTGAGATACCAACTCACACCAGTTAGAATGGTGATCATTAAAAAATCTGGAGACAACAGATGCTGGAGAAGATGTGGAGAAATAGGAACACTTTTACACTGTTGGTGGGAGTGTAAATTAGTACAACCATTGTGGAAGACAGTGTGGCGATTCCTCAAGGACCTAGAAATAGAAATCCCATTTGACCCAGCAATCCCATTACTGGGTATATATCCAAAGGATTATAAATCATTCTATTATAAGGACACATACACACGAATGTTCACTGCAACACTGTTTACAATAGCAAAGACTTGGAACCAACCCAAATGCCCATCGATGATAGACTGGACAGGGAAAATGTGGCACACATACACCATGGAATACTATGCAGCCATAAAAAACGATGAGTTCGTGTCCTTTGTAAGGACATGGATGAACCTGGAAACCATCATTCTCAGCAAAATGACACAAGAGCAGAAAATCAAACACCACATGTTCTCACTCATAGGCAGGTGTTGAACAATGAGAACACATGGACACGGGGAGGGGAGCATCACACACTGGGTTCTGTTGTGGGGGGAACTAGGGGAGGGACAGCAGTGGGTGGGACGTTGGGGAGGGATAACATGGGGAGAAATGTCAGATACAGGTGATGGGGAGGAAGGCAGCAAATCACATTGCCATGTATGTACCTATTCAACAATCTTGCATGTTCTTCACATGTACCCCAAAACCTAAAACACAATTATAGATTTAAAAAAAAAAAAAACTTTAAATAAGAAGGCCAGGCACAATGACTCACACCTGTAATCCCAGCACTTTGGGAGGCTGGGATGGGAGGATTGCTTGAAGCCAGGAGTTCTAGACTAGCTTGAGCAACACAGAAAGACTCTGTCACTACAAAAAATTTAAAAATTGGCCGGGTGTGGTGGCTCACGCCTGTAATCCAAGCACTTTGGGGGCCGAGGTGGGCGGATCACCTGAGGTTGGGAGTTCACGACCAGCCTGACCAACATGGTGAAACCCCATCTTTAAAAAAAAAAAAAATTAATTAATTAATTAAAAAATTTTTTTAATTAGCTGCATGTGGTGCAACACTTGCAGTCCCAACTACTCAGGAGACTGAGGTGAGTGGGAGGATCACTTGATCCCCAAAATTTAAGGTTACAGTGAACCATGATCATGCCACTGTACTCCAGCCCGGGCAACAGAGCAACACCTTTTCCCTAAAATATATTAAATTAAATGAAAATGAAAATAAGAACATAAACACGGCAAATCCAAATTTTTATTCCGTATTTTCTAGGTTTTGAAGGT